CCGGGCCCCAGCTGAGGTTCCGCCTGGCCGGTTACCCCCGCAAGCACAACGAGGGCCGCGTCGAGGTCTTCTACAACGACGAGTGGGGAACCATCTGCGACGACGACTTCACGCTGGGCAACGCGCACGTGCTGTGCCGGCACCTGGGCTTCGTGGCTGCCACCGGCTGGGCACACAGCGCCAAGTACGGCAAAGGAGTCGGTAAGAGAGGGGTGGTGGGCACAGCATCCCCCCGGGGCAGAGTGGGTACCCCAAGAGGTCTGCATGGGGCGGGTTCTGTGTTTGGAGAGTGGCTGGCAGGGGTTGTGTGATCGTGTGTGCACATGTGGGACGTGTTTCTGTCTGTCAGAGCAGCCCCTTGGGGAGGTGGGGACTCCCCATCTGCAGACGCACACACACTGCCCGCCTCCAGAGATTTACTCTTGGCATTTCACCAGCCTCAGCTTTGTGCAGCAGCTCCTGCTGTGACCTGTGTGGTCCCTGGCCGTGCTCTCTGGGCACCTTCCCTGTTCCCAGGGGATGCTTGGCTCCCCCTCACCCCTAGGCCGTGTCTGGCAGGGCGGATCTGGCTGGACAATGTCAACTGTGCCGGAAGCGAGAAGAGCATCGGGGACTGCAAACACCGGGGCTGGGGGAACAGCGACTGCAGCCACGAGGAAGATGCAGGTGTTGTCTGCAAGGATGAACGCATTCCAGGCTTCAAGGACTCCAACGTCATCGAGGTGAGGAAGCTGCTGGCCAGAGTGGGCAGCTGGTGATGTCCAGGATGCCACAGAGCACCCTGGGTGTGGGGCAGTCTGAGAACTCTCCCTGGGGGTGAAGGAAAGCAGCACTGGCTTTCCTGGTTGTGCTCCCCGGAGATGCACCTGAGGACACAAGGGGACAAGAGTTCTGAGTTCTCTGGATGAGGTTCAAGCCTTGACTGCCCAGGGCCCTCAGATGTGGTCAGCAGGAATGCAGGACCAGCTGTCCCTGTGCCCCACCTGTGACTGGGGACCCCTCTCCTGCATCCCAGGAGATTCCTTGGGAGTGGGCCGGCAGGAGGAGGGGGAATGGGATGGGATGTGAGCTGGGGCTGATCTGATCCCCACAGACCGAGCAGAGCCACGTGGAGGAGGTCCGGCTGCGGCCGGTGGTGTCCGGGGGGCGGCGGCAGCTGCCGGTGACAGAGGGCATCGTGGAGGTGCGCTACAAGGACAGCTGGGCACAGATCTGCGACCAGGGCTGGGACAGCCACAACAGCCGTGTCATCTGTGGCATGATGGGCTTCCCGGCAGAGAAGAAAGTCAACAGGAACTTCTACAAGTGAGTGAGGCCAGCAGGGAGCCCACAGGGGTGGGGTGTCCAAGCAGTGCCCGGGGCACAGGGCTGGGGATGGTGCCAGGGGCGTGGGGGGACAGCAGGGACTGTGCTGTTGGGAGTTGTGGCTCCTAAAATCCCTCCCACCCTGCTGCTCACCAGTCCGAGCCCCAGCTGGCCATCTGGACACTTGCTAACCAAGCTGGGGGGACATGGGGTGTTTGGGGGGCCCCCTACCACACACACTACAGCAAAGACCACTACAAGGGGAGCACTTTTGCTCCCTGGCAGTGGTGTCCCCATCCCAAGGGAAGGTTTGCAGCCATCAGGGGATGCTCCAGCCACACAAGGCTGCAGTGAGGGGCACGGCCATGCCATGCCTGGCACTGTGTGTGCCCTGAGCAGGCAGCTCCGGTGTTGCTCCACAGGCGGCTGAAGCGAGCAGCCAGGATGAAGGGCCGCAGCCCGAGGCTGGGCAGCAGGTAAGGGGCCAGGGTGCCCCATCTGCTGAGCTGTGGCAGAGCTGGGCTGTCTGGCCCCACCAGTCTCCACCGTCAGAATGGATCCAGGCACAAATGGATCCGGATGGAGCAGACTGAAGGCTTGGGCTGTGCTGGCCCAGTAGGACAAAGCCCACCCCAGGGGACCTGCCTGTGCGTGCTGGGGTCCCCCATTCCCCATGAGAGACCATTTCTCTCCCAGGCTGGTCATGCTCCAGTCAGAGCAGCCCTGTCCTGCCAGGCAGGAGTCCTGGCACCCTGGGAAGGGAGCAGGAGGCCTCGGAGCAGAGCCGTCTCTCCTGGAGGATGGGGAGGAAGGGCTATGGAAATGGGCTGCTTTCTGCAGAAAGCAGCAGTGGGGACTCTGGAAAGGCTGTGCACCCCTCCATTCCCTGCAGGATTGTCTGGTGTGGGCATCAGAGCCTGTGCTCAGCAGTGCTGATGGGCACAGTGGGGCAGGTCCTGCCCTGAGTGCCACATCTGCTTGGGGTCTCTTGCATCCTCTGCCCACTCCCTCTTGCTGCCTTTCTGCCAGGCCTAGGGGATGCTCTGGCTGCCTTCTCCCTCCATCCCTGAATCCTGCTGCTGGATTTGTTGGTGGATACACTGAGCTAGAGCCCATCCTCTCTCACCTTTTTCCTGAGCCTGCTGCCACGATGCTCTGCCCCCAGCAAGGGGCCCTACCCAAGTCCCACCGCCTTCCCTGATGCTGAATGTGCCCTACACCCACTGTGAGCTCTTCATTGTGACACTCCCAGGTCTGTCCCCAGCAGCCATCCTTGCCAGCTCCTGCAGCTGCTGATGGGAATTCAGGCAGGGTCATCCCATGGGTTTTTTCAACCCACACTTAAAGGTCTTGTTTGCTCCAGTTTGCTGTTTCCTGGCTGTTTTGGTGCTGACTGCCCCTTTCCCAGAGAGCAGGTCCTTCCCCTGAAGGAAGGAAATGTTTTGTGTCTCCATGAAGCTTCAGTCCTGTCCCTCTGCTCTGAGCAGGAACTGGCTCCTGAGACCCACACTGTTTTGTAGAGGCTGATCAGTTTGGGGCTGCACAGCCACAGTCATATGAAGGCACAGGCTAATGCAGGCTGGAAGGGACTTCTGAAAATCCTGGTCCAACTCCCTTGTGTGGAGCAGAGCCAGCTGTGGGCTAAACCCAGGACTTCCTCCAGCTGGCTTTTAAAACCTTCCAAGGATGGAAATTCTGCAGTCCTGTGGTCTCTGCTCCAGTATGGAACAGCCCTCATGGGCAAAAGGTTTTCCTTACCCTGAGCCTGAACCTTTTGTTGTCAGTCACGCTTCTTTTCTCTTGTGCTCTTCCCTCCCTGCTGGAAGAGCCAGGATCCTCACAGCTCCCACCTCAGCCCTGGCAGGAACAGGCTCACACCCCCCATCTCCTCTTGCTGCTCCCCCTGGGGCTCGCACCACATACATGACATCTTGTCCTGGGGACCCAGATCCAGCTGCAGGATCCAGATGTGTTTTCCTGAGTGTGAATGGGCACTGGTGCCCTCTGGCTGTCTGAACCCCAGCCCCAGCTGTGTCCTGGGGCTCGCTGGGCTGTGCAGGCTGACACCAACCTGTGCTGGCATGCAGGGACAGTGGCCAGGCTTGGTTCTGCCCGGTTCCTGGGGCTCTCAGTCCCCTGCCCTCCTCTGAGCCGCTCTGCCCTTCACTCCTTGTGAGCTCTGGGGTTTTGGCTCTGCTCAGCATCTTCCTCCCTGAGGGAAGCAAAGTATTTGAGGATGTTGGGATTGCAGCTACACCTTGTGTGTGCTGAGCCCAAGGCAGTTTCCCCTCATGGCTCAGCCTGTGCCAGGACTGCTTCCCTCACTGGCAGCAGGTCCTTGCCAGCCTGCAGCAAGTCCCACCGTGTCCCATGGCCCCAGGGCAAGCACCCTGGGGCTGTCTGTGCTGCTTGCTTGGTGCTGCTTGCCCAGTGTCCTGCACCTTGGGGACACGGCACAGTGGTGGCGTGGATGAGGACACAGACACACCTCACCCACACCTGACTGATCAAATGGTGGCTGCTGGTGTTTGATCTTCCACTGTGTGACAAGGCAGAGCAGGATGTGCCTGCATCCAGCAGTTTCCTGGTGGGATGCATGCAGGAAACTGCATCACTGCTGCAGAGTGTGGCTGTGTCACACTGCCAGCAGCAGATGATGCTGTTGCACCCCTGTGTGACACAAAGGGGATGCACATGAGTCTTCCTGGAGGCCAAGGTGCCCAGTTCAGCCTCCAGTGAAGGCAGGGCAGGCTGTGCTCGCTGTGTCACTGCTGCAGGCACAGGTGACAGCCTGAGGCCCCGGGCTTGGTGATGGTTGTTTTCTATTTTCCAGGCTGGCCTCCAAATCTCAGCCTAAACAAAAGCGCAGGGAGGACATAGGGCTCAAGAAGAGGTAAATGGCTCCAGTGGAGAGCCAGAGACAGGAGCCTCGTGCAGTCCCACCAGAGCTGTGCGTGTCCCCACGTGCTGCTGGGGGTGTGGGACAGGCAGTTGGCAAGGGGTGGGTGCCTGGCAGCACCGTGTGTCACCCTGGGGACAGGGCAAAGGGCACAACCAGCACATGCAGCTGCAGGCAGGGTGGCTGGTGACACCTCCACTGCCACTGGCCACACTGGCCATGGCTCAGGGCTCCTCTCCCTTCACAGGCTCTTCACAGAGCGGCAGCAGCTCAACTACCGCCTGCACTCGGTGTCCTGCACGGGGACAGAGGTGCACCTGTCCATGTGCTCCTTCGAGTTCTACCGGGGGAACTCCTCAGCAGCCTGCAGGGCCGGCATGCCCGCTGTGGTCAGCTGCGTGCCCGGGCCCCTCTTCGCCACTGGCAATGCCCACAAGAAGAAGCAGCGCCAGCAGCAGCAGCAGCAGGGCCAGGTGAGCCCTGCAGGGAATGGGAAGAGTCCTGTGGTGGCCCACAGCTGGCCAGTGCCCCATGCTGGCTCTGTCCCCTGGGCTCTGCAGGTGTGTGGGTTGCTGGGTGAGCAGAGCAGGAGGTGGGGAGGGTGTGCTGTCCCTGCACACCCCAGGAGTCGTGGCCAGCACTGCGTTGTGCCATTCCACACTGCCCCACACCTGTCCCTGCTCCCACAGCCCCGGATCCGGCTGAAGGGCGGTGCGAGGATCGGTGAGGGCCGTGTTGAGGTGCTCAAGAGCAGCGAGTGGGGCACGATCTGCGACGACCGCTGGAACCTGCAGTCGGCCAGCGTCGTGTGCCGCGAGCTGGGCTTCGGCAGCGCCAAGGAGGCTCTCACCGGGGCACGCATGGGGCAAGGTGAGGCTGCTGGGGCAGGGGGGCCAGGCATCCCCTTCTGTGGATGAGGCACTCATCCAGGCTTTGCTTAGCTGGGGTGTTCTGTGGGCACTGGGCTGCTGGATGCACATGGAGCATCCCAATGGGACCACGGCCACTCAACCACACTGCCCCAGGCAGCAGCTGTGGAGGCTGGAGTGTCCAATTCCCTCAGACCTGCCAAAAAGAGAGGGTAGCCTTGGGGACAAGGTGGCCTTGAGCATCCCTGTGTCACAGGGCCCTGATTTCTGCTGTTCTCCGGCAGGGACGGGCCCCATCCACCTGAACGAGGTGCAGTGCCGGGGCACCGAGAAGTCCCTGTGGAACTGCCCCTTCAGGAACATCACACAGGAGGACTGCAAGCACACGGAGGACGCGGCTGTTCGCTGCAACATCCCCTACATGGGCTACGAGAACCTGGTGGGCACCACGGGGAGCTGCTGGCTCCATGGGGCTCCCAGCAGTGGGGCCTCAGAGTGGGGTGCTGGAAAAGGTCACAGGATCTGTGGGACCTTCATCTCTCCTCCTCTGCACCCCACACATGTCCCCCTGTTCTGGGACAAGGGCTGCCCTGGGAGCTCAGGGGTTTTGTGGGTGGGAGTCCCTGTGAGGAGGGGGCAGAGGGGAGGCTGTGGGGGCTCTGGGTGCTCTGTGGGTGCTGCTCAGTGAGGGGAGGTGTGGGGCAGCTGCTCCCTGCTGCTTTTCCTGCTGCCAGCCTGTGCCCACAGCCTGTGCCCACTCCCCAGAAGAAACACCAGAAAAAAAAATCACTGTGGGCCAACCAAGAGAGATTTTTTTTACCTGTGATGAAACAAGCAAATGGAGCCCCTTGTTCCTGTTTGCCCTGGCCTATCGTTTCATCCACTTTGAGCTTTTTAAGTGATCTTTAACTCCCTCACACCTGTCATTTCTGAAATGATGCCATTTCAAAATGAACTGTTTTCCCTGCGCTGGTGAGACAATTCCCAAACTCACAAGCGATTTCTTATCCCCAAATCCACCAGTTCTGGCAAGTTCTCTACCAGCTAAAGCTGTGCTTGACACTGCTCCGTTCCTGGCTTCCCCATCCCCCTGTGCAGGCAGAGCTGTGCTGGGACAGGGGCTGGGGACAGCCCTGCGGTCCAGGGGAGCATCACCTGTGATGGTGATGATGCTGCCACTGCCTTTCTCTGCAGATTCGGCTGAGCGGGGGCCGGAGCCGCTTCGAGGGGCGGGTCGAGGTGGCGGTGGGGGCTGGCGACGGGGACCAGCCCCGCTGGGGTCTGGTCTGCGGCGAAGGCTGGGGTACGCTCGAGGCGATGGTGGCCTGTCGCCAGCTGGGTCTGGGATTCGCTAACCACGGCTTACAAGTAGGTGCCAGCACCAGCTTGGCCAGGGCAGCAGCAACCACCACCACTGCTCACGGGGCTGGGGACAGGGATGGATGGGGATGGGGACAGGGGAGGAGGTGGCACAGCTTGGGGTGCCCGCTCACGGCCCCAGGGCTTCCCCGCAGATCCGCCTGGCCGGCGGGAGGACGGAGTTTGAGGGCCGCGTGGAGGTGAAACGAGGCAGTAAGTGGGGCACGGTCTGCAGCGATGGCTGGACCACCAAGGAGGCCATGGTGGCCTGTCGTCAGCTCGGCCTGGGCTACTCCCTGCACGCGGTGACGGTAGGTGCCAGCGGGGAGGGCCCCGGTGACGCCCTGGCGAGCGCAGGCACCGGCCGGCACTTCCCAAATGACCGTGGGGCTGCATGGGGACAGATGGGGACAGAGGGATGTGGCTGCTCCATGTCACAGGACAGGACCCATGTGGGCAGCTAGGGGCAGCTGTGG